TAGAAATAACATACAGTGCAGATATTCTACTCCTAGGAATATATCCTAGAGAAAAAAGAGCTGTCATATGAATAGACATATGCACACCCATGGTCATTGTAGCATTATTCACAATAGCAAAAACATGGAAACAACCTAAGTGCCCATCAACAGATGAATGGATAAACAAACTATGGTACATACACACAATGGAGTACTACCCAACAATTAAGAAGAATGATGAATCTTCAAAACATATGACAACATACGTGAATCTGGAGGGCACTATGCTGAGTGAAATAAGTCATTCACAAAAGGACAAACACTGTATGAGATCACTATTATAAAAACTCATGAAAAGGTTTATACACAGAAAGAAACAATCTTTGATGGTTACTAGGGAGAGGATGGGTGGGGAGGGAAAAACACTAACTAGACAATAGATAAGTGGTAACTTTGGTGAAGGTAAGGCAGTACACAATTCTGGGGAAGTCAGCACAACTTGACCAAGGCAAGGTCATGGAAGCTTCACAGACACATCCAAACTCCCTGAAGGACCGAATTACTGGCCTGAGGGCTGGGAACCCTGGTCTCAGGAGACATCCAGCTTGACTGGCATAAAACAGTTTATAAAGAAAATGTTCTACATCCTACTTTGTTGAGCAGCATCTGCCGTCTTAAAAGCTTGCGAGTGGCCATCTAAGATACTCCACTGCTTCCACCCTGTCTGGAGCAAGGGAGAATGAAGAAAACCAAAGACACAAGGGAAAGATTAGTCCAAAGGACTAATGGACCACATCTATCTCAGCCTCCACCAGACTGAGTCCACCACAACTAGATGGCACCCAGCTACCACCACTGACTGCTCTGATAGGGATCACAATAGAGGGTCCCAGACAGAGCTGGAGAAAAATGTAAAACAAAATTCTCACTCACAAAAAAAGACCAGACTTACTGGTCTAACAGAGACTGGAGAAACCCTGAGAGTACGGCCCCTGGACACCCTCTTATCTCAGTATTGAAGTCACTCCTGAGGTTCACTCTTCAGCCAAAGAGTAGACAGGCCCAAAAAAAAAAAAACGAGACTAAATGGGCACAGCACTTCAGGGACAGGGACAAGAAGTCAGGAGGGGACAGAAAAGCAGGTAATGGGGAACCCAAGGTTAAGAGGCAGAGACTGTTGACATGTCGTGGGGTTGGCAACCCATGTCACAAAACAATATGTGTATTAATTGTTTAATGAGACATTAATTTCCTCTGTAAACCGTCATCTAAAGTACAATAAAAGACAAAAAAATACAAAGAATGCTAAAATCTCTTGTGTTCAGCAGCTGTTCAAAGGTGTCCTACTTCTAGTCTGGCTCCCCTTTCCTCCCTGTGACCATTTACTGAGCACCTTACATGGAACAAAAGCAAAAAGGAACACTATTGTGATTCTTCAAAGCTAAGAACGTAGCCAGCAGAAACCAGAAATAAATATTTTAGGCCTTTCTTCATCCCTGTTCCCTATTCTAAGGATGACTCAACCACTCAGCTTCTCTTGCTCCTGCCTCTACCATTTCGGTCTGTCTCAATGTCAAAACGCACAAGATGGAATGACTGATTTAGCCAATCATCATTAAGTATGTAAGATACCCCTGCAAGGCAGAGCTTTCACACCAGGCCCCTTCTTACACCACGTGCCCATTAGTGACTGCCTTTGGGTCAGGTCCTGCTGGGATCAGGGTATTGGGGCCATGATACAGATCATGCATGCAAGGAACAACTCAGGAGACTCTGGATGTAGCAGCCACCTGATTTGTTATGCCCAGTAAAAAACTAGCTGCTGTCTAGTTGATTCTGAGTCAGGGTGACCCCATGCGTATCAGAGTAGAACTGTGCTCTACAGGATTTTCAATGGCTGATTTTTTAGAAGTAGATCACCAGGCCTTTCTTCCAAGGTGACTGTGGGTGGGCTAGAATCTCCACACCTTCAGGTAATAGCCAAATGTGTTAACTGTTTGTACCACCCAGGGACTCGAGTCATGTTCAGTACATTTTAAGTACAATCAAATATATAACAGAGCTATTTCTTCCTTGCCTTTCTCTTTATTCTAGAACGGTATGGCTCATTAGGGGAAAAAAATTATTGATCTAACAATAATGAAATCTGAGTTTTAATTCCAGTATCTCTTATGAATTTACTCTGTGACTTCAGACAAGTCATGTAACCTGAGTCTCAAATGTCTCATCTGTATATTATAAAAAAACCTCTTGCCATTGAGTCATTACCGACTCACAGTGATCCTACAGGACAGAGAAGATCTACAGACAGACCTGTATACAGATCTACTAATATACCTCAATAGGATATTGTGAGGATCAGTGAGGTTAGTCATTCACTCATTCACTCATCACTGAGTACCTATCAAGACCACGTATTATGCTAGGCACAGAGAGGCACATAAAGATATGAGCCTTGTCTCCTCCAAACAGATCATAAACTTGTTAAGGGCAATCTAGTACAAAAATAGTATGATATAAGGGAGAATATAATAGGTACCATACAGTAGGTTTGAACAAAGCACTATGTAGTTCAGAAAAGAAAATACCTTTGAGGTAAGTGGAAAATCAGGAGAGGTAGCTTTTGAGCTGAGTGTGGAAAAAGCATGTGAATGGACACCATCAACAACAAAGGTAGGGAGAGCAAGGGTGTATTCAGGGAATGTTGAGTAGTACAGTTTGTCAGAAACATGGAGTATGTAAAGGTTCCCTAGTGAAAAGTGGTTAAGGAGCCTTGGTACAGTGGGTAACCACTTGGCTGCTAATTGAAAGGCCAGCAGTTCAAACCCACCAGCTGCTCCATGGGAGAAAGATATGGCAGTCTGCTTCCATAAAGGTTATAGTCTTGGGAACCCTATGGGGCAGTTCTACTCTGTCCTGTAGGGTTGCTATGAGTCAGGAACGACTCAACGGCAGTGGTTTGGTTTGGTTTAGTGAAGAGTAACATAATCAGAGATGCGTATCAGGAAACTTGTTCTGCTTATAGTATATAAGATGAAGTGAGGAGACCAGGAGCTGAGATACCTAGTTAGAAGGCTATCACAGAGGCTCAAGTGGTAGTGTGATCCCAAGGTATACAAAATACAATTCATCATTATCGGTAAGCCCTGTCTCCACTGTTACATTTTAAGTTTCTTCAGTGTAGAAAGTTCCTATTCTTTAATATATAACTTACCATCTAGGATGATGTCATATACCCTATAGAAATACAAGGACAAACTAGTAAAATGTCCTTTTATTACCTTATAATACTTACCTCTTCATTCGAAGGGACTGCACATTCAGTCTGTAGGGGTCTTGGAACTGAGAGGCCAGGTCCTGGCAGCGATACATTTGACAGACGTCTCTTTCTTACTCCACTACAATTATTTGGAATCTTGAAGGCACATCGTTTATGATAATTTAATCCACAGCCTAAATATATTTCAAATGGTAAAAAATAGGTAAAATTTAAAAAGTTTACCATGTAAGTGTGATACATAAAAAACCAGGTGCTTCTTTATTTTCTCTGGCAGCAATACCTACCCTAATGAAGAACTCCAATTCAAGAACTATAGGAAACTGTGTAGAAAGGTTTATTTAGAAAAGTTATATTAGCTTAGAGCAGTGGTTCTTCAAGTGTGGCCTCTAAGACATCAGCTGATAACTTGTTAGAAAATAATTGGGCTCCGCCTTAGAGCTACTGAATCAGAAACTCTGGGGATGGGGCCCAGCCATCTGTGTTTTGAAAAGCCCGCCAGGAGACTCTGAAGCACAGTAAAGTGTGAGAACCACTGGCTTAAAGCACTGGTCAGCAAACCGCAGCCTGCGGACCAAATCCCTACTGTGACACGTGAAAATTATATGAAATTCAAATTTCAGTGTCCGTAAATAAAGCTTTATTAGAAAACACCCAGGCTCATTTGTTTACTTATTGTTTACAGCTGTCTTCACTCTACAACGGCAGAGGTAAGTAACTGCGACACGGACACTATGGCCCCCAAAGCCTGAAATATTTACTCTCTGGCTTTTACAAAAAAGGCTTATAGACCTCCACCTTCAAGTGCTGTTTTTAATCAGAGATGTGCACTTGGGTCCTACCTCCAGAGATTCTAATTCAGTATTCTAAGGTGGGGTCCCTGCATATATTTTTTAAAATTTTCCAAGTAATTCAGATGAACAGCCTTGTTGTCTCTATAATGGGAGAAGTGTTTTGACAAATTCTAATTGTGACAACGTATTAAACAGTTTCTTAATCCAAAGCATCAACAAGTAGCTTCTTGTAAAACTATTTTACCTCTACCAGATAACTTCCAATGTACCCAGCTCCTATATGGCTGTAAGAAGAGTTTTTGAAAACAGCAGCTAACATTTCAAATGCATCATTTAATGACATTTACAAATATAAACTAAAAGAAATGTAAATCAACATTAAAATATTCTTTTGTGTAAAACAGTGCTAGCAATACCTACTGAGTTATTGTGAGACTTGAATAAGAAAATATGTTTATCATTTGGTGTGGTGCTTAGCACATTCTCTAGTGACGTGGAGTAGTACAGGCCCTGGACTCAGACTGCCTGGGTTCGAATCCTGGCTCTACTTCTTAGTAGCTAGGTGACCTTGGACAAGTCATTTAACCTCTCTTTTTCTCCAATTTCCTAATTAATAAAATGGGAATAACAGGAAGTACCTTAGAGTGCTTTTATAAGAATTAAGTGACTAACTCAAGTTCTTATTACGGTACTTGGCATACAGTAAGTACTCAATAAATGTTAACTATAACAATGATGATGATGATAAATTAGATAGACATGGGTTCAAATATTCTCTGCCTCTTCATTAGTTATGAGACCTTAATATAAACCACTTGCCTTGGCTGAGACTCAGTTTCTTCACTGGTAGAATACCTTTCTTCCAAGTTTGTAATGAAGATTAAATAAGATGTCTAGCAGTACCTGGAACATAATATGTACCCCCCAAAATGCTACCTAATTTTATTTTACCAACTCTATTTTCAGAGTCCCTCCTTCCATAAATATTTTTAAAGCCAACCAGTTTCCAATACCCTTCCAGCTTCTGAACTTAGTTCAAAAATCTGAAAGATCAACCTTCAGAACCAACACTAGTGAAAGGACTGTTTCTGCTCTACTCATGAGTGGCTCCAACACCCTGATCAAGGGTGAACTCAGCAAGATATAAAGTATTCAAAGTTTTCAGATTTGAACATGTCAGTTTTGCCCACTTTGAAATATGTAATCTTAAATTTTGAAACTCTGTAAGTTACTACAAATTAACTTTATATACTCACTACAACTTGTCTGCCACTACCTATAAAGCAAAATCTAATGGAAATGTTAATGAAAAGCCTAATTTTCTTTCCAGTAAAACTCTGACTTTAAGAAAGAAATGTGGTGATCTTATAAATCTCAAGAATCACAACTGACTTTGTTGTATGTGAGAGGCTAATATTTTTTAAAGACTACAAAAAGGTAGGAGAATTAATATTTACTGAGCAACTACTTTGAGCCAAGTATTTTACCCATGTTGTTGTGAGCCATCAAGTCAATTCCTACTTGCAGTGACCCTATAGGACAGAGTGGAACTGCCCTACAGGATTTCCAAAGCTGTAATCTTTACAGGAGCAGATGTCCAGGTCTTTTCTCCCCACAGTGCGGCTGGTGGGTTCAAACCACAGACCTTTTGGTTAGCAGGCAAATGCTTTAACCTTTGTGCCACCAGGGCTCGTTTTTTACCCATACTTACATTTAAAGGAGCCCTGGTGGAGCAGTGGTTATATGCTTGGCTGCTAACCGAAAGGTCAGTGATTCAAATCCACCAGCTACTCCATGAGAGAAAAGACCTGGTGATCTGCTCCCATAAAGATTATAGCATTGGAAACTTTTTTATTTTTTATTGTACTTTAGATGAGGGTTTACAGAACAAATAGTTTCTCATTAAACACATATTAGTACACATATTGTTTTATGACAATGGTTAACAACCCCATGACATGTCAACACTGTCCCTTCTCAACCTTGGGTTCCCTATTTCCAGCTTTCCTGTTTGCTCCTGCCTTCTAGTCCCTGTCCCTGGACTGTTGCGCCCCATGAGTCTCGTTTTGTTTATCAGCCTTGGAAACTATGCCCTACAGGATCACTATGAGTCAGAACTGACTACACAGCAATGGGCTTTTTTTTGGTAAACTTATTTAACCATTTACTCTCCATGAAACCCACTGGATAAACTATATTTTACAGACAGAGAAACTGATGCTCAGAGAGGTTTAGTCAGTTGCCCAAGAATGTGAACAAGTAAATGGCAGTCAAGAGTAGGGTCTAGGTCTCTCCAATTCTTGGGTACTGCCTAGTCACCTACCAATGATCTTGTTTTTTCACTGATGATTTAAGAATACAACATTTATTTTACAAAAGAAAAATAGAAAAATGTGAAATCCTATTTCAAATAACTACAAAACTTCTAAAATACTTACCTTCACATTTCAGTCCCTGACGTACCAATCCCCAAAGCATCTCACCACAATAATCACAAAAAGTAGGAGCTTTGTAAGAATGTACATAGAGAGTATGTGGACGAATCTGGAAGTCTTCTACTGTGGCCAAAGCTTTTAAAAAAGGAAGAGTATTAAATAAAATAAACCTTATATTTGTATTGCAATGAAATTATGAATTAAGGTAAAAGTATATACCTTAAGTACACAGAATCTCTGAAAGTTTCATCTGACCATAGAAACTAAATTATTTTCAGCACTTAATATTGTGATTTTTAAATTCTAGTTAGGAAAGTTCATCAGCTTCAAATAATTTGAGCTCTAAACGTAGGTCTGTAGGTTAGGTATTCAGACCTTCAAAAGCATTTTCTGATGGTGACAAGATTACAAATAGTTGTTAGGTCTATTTAAGCCCATTAAAAACAGTTTGACTTAAAATAAATACACTGAGAAGTAGAACACTAAAGTAAAAAAAAAAAAACCAAAAAATTGTGGCGCACAGCTTCAATTTATAGCCATGCTTCCATAGGAAAAGGCATTGAATTCTAACTTAGGACCCCAGGATATACTCTCTCTCTATAGTCCTACTGGTTAAGAGAAAGAGACTCTTCTCCCTTCAGCAAGCAACTGATGAGTACACACATGGCCTTTCTCTCTCATCCACCTGCAAGTCATTAGTGGATGTCCCTGCAGTGAGATGAAGGTTCCACAGCAAAGAAGGAACAGACGTTGAGTATGATCTCCAGAGAGGACAAGGAGCGAGGTCCCTCAGCAGTGAAGAGGAAAACAAAGATTTGGAAGAGTATAGATGTTTGGGGTTATGGTGTAGAAGATGAATGATCAATGTATGGGCTAGATGAATGGAAAGGATGAGAAATACGAGAGGTGTGGTGACTAATAAGGAAAGGTGACAGAGAGGGTTTCAAGCATAGGCTGCAAAGAAGAGTTTAGGGAGAAAAAGTGGTGGTAGAACTCTGGACCCTTGGTTAATGGATTGTTTCCTTCCATCTGTTCTTCCTCTCTCCTCTGCTGCCAAACAAGAAGTATGCAGGTCTACCAAGTATCTGCCTGGTGTTCTTTCTTCCTTTACACTACTTATTAACAATCCTGCCTCCATGCTGTTGCAGGAGATCAGAAACAGCGAGGGCAAAGGGACAAGGAATTGCAAGAATGGGTGAGAGTGACAAGAAGAGAGATAGGTAGGAAAATGCCCACTGAGAACAAAAAGGAGCATTATTTAAGCCATGGAAACAACCACTCTTCCATATCTTCATTATTTCTCCTCTCTTTCTGATTCTCTTTTCTGAACCCCAGTTCTCTTCTTCTATGCTTTTCACAGAAATGGAGAAAAGGGAACAGAATTTTAGTATAATTGTTTTAGCTTGTTTGACTCGAGGAAGAAGAGTATATTCCTCTTTCAGTTCAACTGATAATTCCCTTAGCTTAGAGACACTCAGGTAAGTAATACAGGGCTACTGTCCTACTTCTTCATCTGTGATAACTTCCTGGAAGGGTAACCATTATTACAGACAAAAGAAGGAACCGGATATAGTGTAAAGACCAAATATAACTGAACAAAACATTTAGTGCAGAAAATAAGGCTCACTGGTAAAAAGGCAACAAAGTAGAAGAACCTACTTACTTACCTGAAAGAACAACTTCTACTAGGTCTCCTTCATGTATTTCCTCTGCTGAGGTAATCAGCTGCAAAATATTTTCTGAGTTCATGTCATGGCGGAAGAGAAGAATTTTATCATACATGCCAAAAAATCCACACTCTGGAAACTGCAGAAAAATAATCCCATATCAGTCTGCCCATAGCTTTCTATGTTTATAAGGTAAATATCTCAATCTTATGAAAGAATTTTAAGTGTAGTATTTAAGCCTAACACTCTATATTTGCTAATAATTAATATAGAAAAGATCAAGAATGTATTTATTACTCAAGCATCTTCATTAAAGTTCAAAAATAAAAAAGTAAACTTTTAAAAATAAAATCATCATCGATTATCTTAAAACATGTCTCTGCCATTAATTATAAATATAGGATTTCTATAGTCAATTATTGACGGAGACAATAATCTTCAACTTACTGCTACTCTATTCTCACATGGCCTGAAAAGCAGTCTTTCCCATCCTTTAGAACTGTGTTGTCCTATATAGTTAGCTACTAACTAAATGTGATTACTTAAATTAATTACAATTAAATGTAATTAAAGTTTAGTTCCTCACTCCAGCCACACTACAAGTGCTCAACAGCCACCCTGGCTAGCGGTTACCATAAGGGACAGTGCAGATATAGAACACTTCCATCATTGCAGAAAGTTCTATTGATCAGTTCTATAGAAGACCAATAATTCCCAAACTACAGTCACTTGAGTACTAATTCCAATATTTTTACCAAATCCACCTACAGTTTCTACCACTTCTCTAATATTTTTCTTTAAGTCTACTCACTGTAATTACAGATACATGATTCATTATGGTACCTTTTTTAAAAAAAAAAAAAACAAAACCTTTGCCCACAGCGAGAAACTCGCAGATTTGTTCACGTATGCCCTACGTGCATTATTTCAACACTTCTACTTCTTGTGACTATAGTGCTGGGACACTTTGGGGATTAGTATACCAATATGTGTTCCAAACGTTTTTATAGTTAATAATTTGAAGGTATTTAAAAGAGAACTTTAAATACTTGTCTTATAAAATAGCCATATTTAATTTTTTAAATCATAATTTAAAAAGTGAGACCATCTTCTAAACTACCAGGTTCTTGGGAAATGCTCCTCTAGATAATTCAGATTTCTTCTGTGAATCAAGCCAGTGCAACAGAGTTGTATACTCTTATTGATTTATTTTGGCTCACTGTATAATATTCCTTAATGGATACATCACTGGCCTGCATTGAATAGACTGCTATGAATCAATCACATCGAACTTGAAATTGCATTTACTGCAGAGTTGCTGAGGATATGGTTCACCTACTTCATACAGTAGCCGTTCTTTTTGAGGATCCATGAAAAAAAATGTTTGTGGTTGGTTTTATAAGATAAACAATTTGATCATGTAACTAACCATATTTTCTTATTTACTTTGCCCACTAGGAAAAGATAATCAAATTTATGGCCCACTTCAAGCATCAGTCTAGGGTATTACAGCACGTGTTTTAGGTGCAAATAATAATCTAGTCCTATCTTATTCTCTGACCTTAATTTTTCCATTAAAAAAAGCCTTGTATGTATCTGTAAATACAGTCTTAAATCTTTTTCTTCCTTTTTTTGGGAGGGGGTTAAATTTTACAAAAATTGAAAATAATGACTTCATTAGAAAGTTTATTTGTATTTTTTTAACCCTGAATAATGGAAAAATATAGAAATATTTAGAATTTTTAAAATATTAATTTTCGTTTTAGATATGTGACCAGAAAAAAAAAAAAAAGAAAAAAAACCAAACCAGTTGCTGTCGAGTTGATTCCAACCCATAGTGACCCTAGAGGACAGAGTAGAACTGCCCCACAGGGTTTCCAAGGAGCGGACGGTGGATCTGAACTGCTGACCTTTTGGTTAGCAGCCGAGGTCTTAACTACTGCGTCACCAGTTATCAATAATACTCATAAAACTTCATGTTTTAAACATATACCTAACAGTATAAGAATTATCAGAAAATATGAGTTAAAAAAATCTAGCCTTATTAAAATGAGAACAAAACTCCTCTATGACAGCAGTTGCAACAATTCTTAAGGATTAATGAAAAGGACTCCATTTTCTATCCTTATAAAAATAAAATTTCTAATAAAATATTTGTATGACTAAAATTGATTATAAAAAGCCACATTTACTGCACGTCTGCTAAGTATAAGGCACTGGCTCCGTGGTCTGTGAAGATGAATGAGAGTTCTTATTTTCCAGGCACTTACAATCTAGTGGGAAGATGGAAGTGAACACAAATACCATATTTTTTGCGCAAATATCACGTGCCTTCTACATTTGCCAATTGCACCCTCCCCCCGTGAGGTATTTTCATATGCGTGCTATGCTGACTTTTTACGGCAACATGTAAAGAAAAACTGGCATAGTGGCACTTACGAAAATACCTCGCAGAGGGAGGGCACAGTTGGCACACAAACGTAGAATGCATGTGTTATTTGTGTAAAATACGGTAGTATACGACACAATAAGGCAAATGTCAAAAGCTGAAAAAAATCTTCTAGAAGATGGAATAAAAAACTTTAGCTGGGAAGGTAGAGTAGAGAGATAGGTAATATTTGAGCAAACTGTAAAAAGAAGCAGGACTTCCATAGGCAGATAGTGAGAGTATCACAGGGAAGAAAGTACCAAAAAAAAAAGGGAGAAGGAAAGTGTGACTGAAGAAGGAAGTGGGAGGGTTGGGGAGCAAGAGGGCAAGAATGCACACAGGGCCCTGACTGGCCATACTAACAGGAACTTGGAATCAACAGAGCTGGGTTCAAGCTTTGCCACTACTAACTATATCACCTCTCTAAATGCAGTTTCTTATCTATAAGATGGGGATAAAAAAAGTACTGGCTTTACAGGGTTCATATCAAAATTAAACAACTTAGAAGATATAAAAAACATAAAGTATACCAGTGATTCATATTAGTATTCTACATCCTAGAGGCTCCATGGGAGAAAAGACCTGGTGATCTGCTCCTGTTAAGATTACAGCCTAGGAAACCCTATGGGGCAGTTCTACCTGGTCATATAGGGTCACTATGAGTCAGAAGAGCCCTGGTGGCACACTGGTTCAAGTGCTCACCGGGTAATTGAAAGGGTGGTGGTTTGAACCCATCAGCCGCTCTGCGGGAAAACGATACGGCAGTCTCCTTTCATAAAGATTTACAGGCTTGTAAGCCATATGGGGAGCGGTTCTACTCTGTCCTACAGGGTCACTATGGGTCAGAATTGACTCAATGGCAGTGGGTTACCCAAGAGGGAGAGACAGAAAGTCCCAGAGTAAGAATCAAATCTGTATTTTAAGATCTATACATGATACAAGATTGTATCATGATTTGTATCATGTATCATATTTTCACTACCATGTACATGATTGTATCATGAAGTGGTATATGATCAAATCTGTATTTTAACAAGATTTCTTTTCTTTTTTAAATCTGCACTTTAAAAAGCTAATGCTAATGGCACTGTGCAGCAGAGACTGGAACATGAAGAGATAAACTTCTGAAGAAGGTTAAAGCTATTGCTCCGGAAAGAGGTGTCACAATCTGAATTATGTAGTAAAGGTAACATAGGCCTGAATTATATAGTAAGAGAATGGAAAGAGACAGACAATAAAAAACACTTCTCTCCAGAAACTATCTTCAGTAAGTTATACAGATCACTGATATTGTTCTGACCAAACTAGAAGTACTGTCCTGGACTGAATTGTGTCCCCCTAAAATATGTTAACTTGGCTGGGTAATGATTCCCAGTATTGTATGGTTATGTACCATTTTGTAACCTGATGTGATTTCCTCATGTGTTGTAAATTCAATCACTATGAGCTAATGAGATAGATTGGCGGCAGTTATACTGATGAGGTATACAGGATTGGATAGTGTCTTAAACCAATCTCTTTTGAGATATAAAAGAGAGAAGCGAGCAGGGACACATGGGAACCTCATACCACCAAGAAAGCAGTGTCGGAAGCAGAGCGCGTCCTTTGGACCTGAGGTTCCTGCACAGAGAAGCTCCCAGACCAAGGGAAGACTGATGCATCACCAGGATCTTCTCCAGAGCCAAAAGAGAGAGAAAGCCTTCTCCTGGAGCTGATGCCCTGAATTTGGACTTGCAGCCTACTGGACTGTGAAAGAATAAACTACTCTTTGTTAAAGCCATCCACCTGTGGTATTTCTGTTATAACAACACTAGATAACTAAGACAAGTACTAAATAACGGAAAACTGAAGAACTGAAGAATAAACATACCAATGAAAGAAGGAAAACAACATTAAAATAATCAATGTACAGCTTAGAAAAACAAATATAAAATAACCTTCTTGACAAACACATGACTTAGTGAATTTAATATTGGTATTCCTGAGAGACCCTTCTGCAAGTTAAAAAAAAATTATAGGGAGTCCTGTTGTTGTTAGTTGCCTTCAAGTCGATTATGACTCATCGTCTTAGTTCTCTAGTGCTGCTATAACAGAAATACCACAAATGGGTGGTTTTAACAAACAAGTTTATTTTCACACAATTCTGGGGGCTAGAAGTCTGAATAGAGGGTGCCAGCTCAAGGGGAAGGCTTTCTTTCCGTTAGCTCCATGGGCTTTATTCCTTGGCTCCTTGGTGATCTTCATGTGGCATGGCATCTATCCTCTCCCATCTCTGGTTCCTCAACTGCTTGTCTAATCTTTTTTATATCTCAAAAGAGACTGACTCAAGATACACCCTACACTAATCCTGCTTCGTTAGTGTAACAAAGACACTCCATTCTCAAACAGGATTATAACCACAGGGAAAGAGGTCAGGATTTACAACACGTATTTTTGGGAGACAAAATTCAATCCATAATACTCATGGTGATCCCATGTGTGCAGAGGAGAAGTGTTCCATAGGGTTTTCAAGGCTGTGACCTGTCAGAAGCAGATCACCAGGTCTGTCTTCTGAGGTACCTCTGGGTGAGTTCAAATTGCCAACCTTCCAGCTAGTAGTCAAATATCTAACCAACCATTTGCACCAGCCAGGGACTCCTACAGGCAATATTAAGAACATTTATTTAAAATAAACATTTATGTATCATAGGCTAGAACACCTTTGGTGATGA